TTGATCTCCCTTCATTGTATATCAGTTGTAAGTGTACAGTACAGAAACTATCATCCCCCCTGTTTTTAACTTATTAAATCTGAACTAAATTTTTTATCACTCTATTAATGTTGGAAGCACAAAAAAGACAGGTTCCAGGATTAAGAGCATCAAGTCAAGAATTTTACTTCTATTATCAGATTAACGAATAAATGCCGCAAATTATTTTAATGATCAAAGACGATATCCAAGTCGTCTCTGAACTATCGTGTTTCGTGGGACAACCTGTAGTTGACAAGTAAGGTCTGCTGTGCACATTAGTAGTACTATTTTAATTTTCAACAATATTTCACCAAGTTTTTATGGATAACCGATTCCAAGAATTATTCTAACAATTTTTAGCCCAATAATGACGCAAGTTCAACGATTTTCTGTACACGTTGGTAGCACGATTTTAAACATGCTTTTTTATAAACATTTTAATAATTTTCAGCATATAGAATGCAATGGTAAGATTTCTTTACAGTAAGGTAACAGTCTGAATTTGCCGAGGAATATTAAAGATTATACTTTATCTTAAAAATGCATTTTGCTCCATTGCTTTTAAATAGACCTCTTTTCATAATTTTCATCATTATTTTGCAAATAAGTTAAAATTTATCAGTACATACATACTGTGTATTCCACTGAACACGGAAATTAAGAGACGACTTGAAAATCGTCTTCGATTTCCGAAAGTTTAAAATTAACAAAGAGTGTCTCTTAATAAAGATTGAACGTTTGATAAGTTTTGAAATTGTGGTCTGCCTTCAACTTGTATCTTTATGATTGACGGAGATATTCAAGAGTTGGAAAGATTTAAATTTCATTTGATAAATCAGAATCTGGACAGGTTTGTTTCAACTGGAATAATACAAAAATTGTGTTCACGTAATAATGCCAAGCGGAACAAAGACAATATAGAAACGTCATGTAATTCCTATGTTTACTGAGACACCCTGTACAATATCTGAAGGATTTGTTTGAAATTAAATTGATTTTTTACGGTCTAAGTCGTATGTTGCAATTTTCTCAATTTATAAGGGCGCTGAGTTATTCGGTATGAGACGTCTTTAACAATTTTCACTTTATAGAGGCAACAGATAGAAGTAAGATTAGTAACGATCAAAAGCGCTTTTTTATCGCATTAAGCCTATACCCCTTTCATTTTTCGCGAACACTCCCTTTAAAAACTAAAGTTTTTTAAAAAGGAAGGTAAAAACAGGCAGACCGCTTATTGGAAATCCCGGAACTACGAAAATACAATGATGTTTCTTGTTTTGAATATGCTTTCAGTGGGATCAAATTCAGATAAAATAAATGTTGCGTGTTGATCTAAGATGGTTTATAAGTAGTCACTGATTTTCCTTGTTTTGGGACACCCTGTATCAATAATATAAACAAACTATCTTCTCTTTGACTAATTGAAACAAATTTGTTAGTGTAAAATTTATACAAAACATACATCGTTTACATTTTATCACAACAAATAAAAAAACGTGAAATGTAGCGTGAATATACGTAATTTTCTAACAATTTCAATAATTAAATTATAATGTACGAATCAGAGTATTCAAGAGTATATATCTTCTTAGAACATCATTTCCACTTCCTTAAAATCAATTTTCTTTAGGAATTTGGGGGAAAAAATCTATTTTAGGTAAAAGCATCGAAAAAAGGGGAATGCTCAATTCCCCCCCCCCCCCNNNCAGGGGTATTTAGAGTTCAACGATTTTCTGTACACGTTGGTAGCACGATTTTAAACATGCTTTTTTATAAACATTTTAATAATTTTCAGCATATAGAATGCAATGGTAAGATTTCTTTACAGTAAGGTAACAGTCTGAATTTGCCGAGGAATATTAAAGATTATGTTTAAGAATATTCCAGTTTTTGTTTATGGTAGAACAGAAGATATCCCTCGCTGTCCAGAACCTAAATAATATTATAGTTAGCAACAGAACAAGGAATGGTGTCCCAATGGACACGAGAACTTTTTTTTACCACATACACGGGATTATTTCTTTTACACAAACACATTAGGAAGTAATAAAGTTTAACAATTCATTTATAGGGTCCGTCCTAGAGAACGATTTTTGGACATGTACAAAATTGATAGGAGGGGGGGGGGGGGAGGTCCAAAAATCGTTCTCTAGGAAATTACCCATTTATAACCCCTACGAAATTGACAGAGAAAAATTTATTCAATTACACGAAAAAAGAAGATCAGTAATCTTGAAGTAATGGTTATGACCTAGATCCGGATCCATCTTTTTCAGGACCAATCCAGGATCCGGATCCGGATCTGCATCAAAATAAAATAGATCCTAAGCACCTATTTCTACCTGTGACATTGATGCCGGAAGTATCTGATGGTCGTTGCAATGAAACCAAAGGTTCCCATGCTGTCGGATATAACTAGTGTAGTGCCCAGCGTCCAGATTTCCAATATGATTTATCACTCCAAACAGTTCATACTTGTTGTTACTAAACAAAGAAGTAATTGCTTTATCAGAATTCTAGGTACAACCAAGCCGATAGATGCACCAAATATTTTATTTTAAAGGACTTTACTTTGTTAAAATTGATTATTTTCAAATCTGGTTTCTGTGGGGGCGTTTATTTACCTTGGTGCTCCGACATACTCCTCCTTCTTCCCCCCGTTGTTCCTGGCGTGAGAGATGAAGGGGGTCATGTCCAACTCCTCCGGGAAATCCACTCTAGTCGTAATCTTCTTGTGCAGTCTGCTCGAGTGCTCGAACCTAGATCAATGTTGAGTAATTGATACAAAACTAACAAGGGACAATAGACGTTGTGAATTTCAAGTGACAATAATTTTGTAGCGAATCAAGTTCAATTCACAACAGTACCATTTAGATCTCTATTTGAGTAACAATGAGAATTTTTGTTTTCTATCTATAACATGTTTATATTGGCTAAATTCCTTGATATTTTCCATAACATAGATCATCAAGTCACTTTGATAGGGAAACCAAATATAAAAGACAGTTTTTAGCTCTATACATAAAGGTATAAAAATCAATGATTAAAGGGTACCCCTGTAAATCGAACATGCAACACTATAAATGGAGTGACCCTAGAAATAACGTTTCAGTAAGATTTCGAAACTATTTTAACTTTTTTTTCAGGCAACGCCGGGCCCTTTAGCTAGTGTCTAATAAGATCAAATCATGTCTAATAATAAGGTCAAGCTATGTCAAATATGTCAACAAATGTCAAGCTATGTCAAGTATGTCAACAAATGTCAAGCGAAGTCAATCTGTCAAATAAAACCACGACATACGAGAGCCTAGTAACAAAGACAAAACTCAAAAGAATTAAGTCAAAGAATATAGAATATTTGCCTGATGAGAATTGCACCCAGAGCAACGGATCTTTGCCCCGGAACCAAGATGTTCAGGCTGAGTAAATCTCTGCAGACAATCCTATACCATTATTGATTACTTCCGGTTTTATTACTTGATCAATTGATTAGTTCCTGTTTCATTTCTTTATTAATCAATTAGTACCGGTTTAATTTTTGGATCGATTGATTAGTTCCGGTTTAATTTTTGGATCGATTGATTAGTTCCGGTTTCATTTCTTGATCAATTGATTAGTTCTGGTATCACATCTAGATAGATCGGATAGTTAAAGTGATTTCTTGATCGTTCTCAATCGAGTGTTTGAGGGTTAAATCGAATTTTTTGTTGGAAGGGGGCAAACAAATTATATGATGGTAAAGTCTAAACACATTTATACCCATTTACGTTATAAGCCAAGTTTATCAAATTTGGATCAGCAATGTTTATAACTACGACCCGTGTGCTCAACAGAATTAAGAATTGAGAAGCTATGATAAAAAGGCGAAATTAGTTGCTTTAAAAGTTACAATTCAAGGAAATGACTTTCTTAAATTAAAGCGCTTGCTCTGAATTTTTTATTCTTCTTTTAATACAATGTTTAATACAAATAACCCCAGAAATTCGCAGACATCGTAAAAATGTATAAAATGTCGTTTTTAAACATAATGGAATGTTGCAGATATTTTTTTTTAATTGATTAATTATATGGAGCTCTTTAAAACTGTTCACTCAAATGTCATGGCGATTTATTTATTTATAAGTTTCATGAGATTTAGCTAATTATTGTAGTAAAAAAAATAATGAAAAATAAGAATAAATACTTTTTATGTCTCCGAAAATCTGGCTTGAACTGTAGTTTTTTTGGAGGTTATTCAAGAACTTTTACGTCTGGTAATAAATATCCAACTATGACTGACCTGTAAGGATATTCCAGGAGCAGGTGTACCAGGTATAACAGGAGTTCCAGCAGGAAGGTCCAGGGAGATATCCCAGAATGGATCAATAGTAGTGGATACACCCTTACACACCTGGATAAACATATATAGCGGATACACCCTAATATACCTTGATATGCATTAAATATAGTGGAAACACCCTGACACACCTAGATACACCCTACACCTGGATATACATTTAAAGCGGATACACCCTTACACACCTGGATATACAATATACATATATAGTGGATACACCCGTACACACTTGGATAATCATGTATAGCGGATACACCCTAATATACCTTCATATACATTAAATATAGTGGAAACACACTGACACACCTAAATACGCCCTACACCTGGATATACATTTAAAGCAGATACACCCTTACACACCTGGATATACAGTATACATATATAGTGGATACAACCTTCCACACATACGCACAAGTGTGTAAGTGTAACAACGCGCAAGTGTGTGCGCGTAATAAGGAAATGTATATTCTAAATAGTAAAAATGGAAATAGACCAAATGCTTAATTTCAAAACATGGTGGGGAGCAAACTCCTTCATTCTTTTCTTCATGTTCTTTTTGCTCATTTCCTACATTTTGAGGCCTCTCCCGGTGTTTTTTGTGACATCGAGTTATGTCACTCATATATGTATGTATATGTATATATATGGTATCGTAAAGATCACAAATTAAGAATCCCCCAGAGATGGAGGGATAAAAATGATATTGTAGGCCCACTGCCTTCACAGTAAATATATAATGTTTACAGTGGTAATCCTGAAGTAAGAAAAATGGCTGAAACAAATGCTGTATTCTTGAAATTGCAATTTAGAATTGTTTTTACAGATGAATTCTTCATTAATAAATTTATCATATGATGATAATAATTAAGCAGAAAAGCTTAAAACATTTTGGATTTCATAAAAATCTTAAGAAAACTTTTGTATCAAACGACTTTTAGCAGTCTAACCTACACAATTAAGTTTTATTGGGGGGCCCCTCCAGGGACCACTGACCAGGGGTTGATGAAAAAAANAATTTTGCCCAATACAGCAAAGAAAATCTTGAATATGATCTAAAAAAAGAGGGGGAAAGAGATTTTTCAAGAAAATATACACCCCTGGCGCGGCATTTTACCTGACAAACAAGATCCGATTGTAGTTTCCCTGTGAAGATAGTGTCCACTATACAGGTACAGCTGGAGGGGGATATATTCGTCTAGATAACCAAACATTCATTCATTTAGTTTCTTCTAAATCTAATATGAATCAATACTGAAGAAGTTCATAGGGAACTTTTGTATCGTTAATCCTTTCATCTGACGGATTAAGTTTATTCCCTTTAGCTTCCTCTGGGGGTTAGACCAATTTGAACAAATCTGCGAAAACATAAGTCTGCTGTTAATCAGTGATGAAACACTCAACTTAAGCACTCAAGCATAGTAGATTAACACTGATTAAGTTGTGTTTAGGATTCATAACATTTGGAGCATTTAAATAAAAATAATGATATGTAGCTCGTTTTTTTTCAGTTTATAAAAATTACTAAAAAATAAATATGTACTTTGTAGTTTACAATCGTTAACAAATAAAACAAATTTAAATATAAATTGATGATAAGCAAATTATAAATTAACAAAAAATATGGTGTCTTAATTTATCAGTTATAAATGCATAGATATTCAATGCATTAAAACAGAAAAAATTAAATAAAACTTTAGTTTATTTCATGAAAATGAAAAAAAGAAGAACAATGTTCAGTGTGGATCTTACACTGTTAATAAAATTAATTTTAAATATGAATTAATTTGAAAATCCTTGTAAACAAGGCATAGGGATAGCAAATTGATCCGGTAACATTTTTAAAACATTGTTTAACGTGAAGTGAATGAATATGGTTCCTTGTATATAAGATGTCTGTGAAGAAGATCCAGAAGAGCAATAAAGAATTCATGCGCATCCTGCTGTTCATAACCTTGACAATCAATCAATCGACCAATCAATCAATCAATCAATCAATCAATCAATCAATCAATCAATCAATCAATCTATCAATCAATCACCAAACCAATCACCCAATGAATCACCCAACCAACACAGCAAATAGATGTTTGTTTTAAGAGTCCCCTAGGTTAAGTGAAGTAAAACATGCTAACAACTCCTTCAAATTAGTCACAAACAATCCCTTGAAATAGTCAAGAATCCCTTGAAATAGTCAAGAATCCCTTGAAATAGTCAAGAATCCCTTGACATAGTCAAGAATCACTTGAAATAGTCAAGAATCCCTTGAAATAGCCAAGAATCCCTTGAAATAGTCAAGAATCCCTTGCAATAGTCAAGAATCACTTGAAATAGTCCAGAATCCCTTGACATAGTCAAGAATCACTTGAAATAGTCAAGAATCCCTTGAAATAGTCAAGAATCCCTTGAAATAGTCAAGAATCCCTTGAAATAGTCAAGAATCCATTGAAATAAAAATATTTTGGCACCCACTCTACCAAAAGTGCTCTTGCACCTAATATTTACTTTCTGGAAAATTTAACACAATTAAGACGACATTCACGACAATTCAGTAATTTTAGAAATTAGAAATGTCATTTCATTATTTCCAACATTTCCGGCCATTTCAACATTTACAGTAATTTCAACATGTCTAGTCATTTTAATTTGACCGGTTATCTTAACATTCCCAATCATAACATCATTATTACATCATAATTAAATTACCGGAATTTTAACATCAAAACTTGATATGATGTTAAAAATTCAGGTAATTTCAACATTTCTACTAATTTCACTATGTCCGTAAATTTCAACATTGTCCGATTATTTCATCATTTCTACTAATTTTAACATGTCTGAGCCGGAATATTTTCATCCGTACTTTTTGCAAACATATGACGTCTCCACTTACTCACGTCCTAAATACGGAGGAATTAAGATATGTCTAAATGGGATTTTCTACAACATTTAGTGTCCGACCATAAACTGCAACATCGCGCGACCCCTATAGACGAAAATAAATAGAAAGCTGTTCAATACACTGCAGAATACATTTTCAGGGATGCTTTTTATTGACGACTTTCAAAAATATTAAATTCTCAAGAAACAGCATTGGATTATAATAGTTTTCGATTGTTCATTTTTTTA